GCCAGAGCACAGCTTCGGAGCGGCGCCCGTCGCTCCCGGGGAGCAGTTCACGCGGACCCCGCTCGGCTCGGGGGCTGCTCCCGGCCGGGGAGGTACGGGCCGCGCTGAAGCAACGCGCCGGGACAAGTAACGGCGGACAGCCGGTTGACACGGACACGAGGCCCACCCCCGACACCGGGGGCCGACCCAACCGGGGTCCCGGGCCGCAGACGGGGGTGCCCGCGGAGCCTCTCGGGCAACGTGCGGAGCTGCGTCCTGGCCACTGTGCCCAGCGCTCCCCGGCAGCGCCCCAGGGGCCCGAGGGCTGGGGGTGTGGTCCCCAGGAGCAGATGGAGCCACCTCCTCCTGTGCACCCCCACAGGGCCGGTCCTCAGTTAGTCCTGGGTGGGTGATGGGGCAGCGGGTCCCAGCGCTCAGAGTTTGTCCTGCCCTGCAATGTGGGTCTGGCAAAAAGCTCCAGAGCACAGCTGGGCCTTTCTTGACTCTTGGTGTCTAAGCCAAGGGTACGTATGTCAGGTCTTAGGTCAGTATCCCCAGACTGTCTCCCAGGAGCTCACTGGTGTTGATGACAGTGCAGTGACTGGCCCATGGCCCCCCGTTGCTGTGACACCTCCTGCCTGTCCTGGGGCAGATCAGGCAGTCTCCCAGCCCAAGCAGCTGTGGGTTTCTCCTCACTACCTCCAGAGCAGATGGAGCCTCATCCACTATTTGAAACCTGGCCCTGAAGTGCCCCTCAGTTTGGCTTCAGTTTGATGAGGGCTGTCCTGGGACTGGAATCGAATCACAGAGGCACAGCACTGGTTGTGCACAGGGTGATCAGGCCCAGATCAGTCCTTTGGTGGGATGATACCAAGCTCCTGGGTCACACAGGAATGAGTACAGATGTGCCTTGAGAAGAGAGAAGCAGAGCATGGCAATAAATCCTCCTGAACCAGAGACATGGGCTGGTTTCTATGTGCTGGCAGTTTGCCATATCCTGGCTGTCCAGGGAAAAGCTATGGAAGGAAGGGCTGGACCTGGGCACACGGAGCCCCAGGACAGCCTGGTGGTGATGGACTGGACAGCAAGGGTCTAGAGGTGGAGGGTCTGCTGAAGCCAAAGCTGAGGCTGCCTGCTTGTCCTGCCTGGGTGTTGTATTTCCAGGTGTTTGAATTTCCTCAGCATCGATTCCACAGTAAACTTCCTGGTCTCATCCCGATTTCTACCATCAGCCCCTCTAAGACTTTCCCTCTGTGCTGCAGCCTGTGCTGTTCAGTTTAATGCAAATTTGACCTGGAAAAGCAGAGAACACAAGGCACTTCCCAGGGCACATGTTGAGCTAAAAGACATGACTGTGACACACCACGTGCCCTGAGAATGTTGTTTCTCCAGTGCTTCACACTCTCCCCCTCTCCCACATCTCAGCCACGCAGTTGCAGTTGGGAAAAGCCCCAGTTCATCCACCTGAGCTGCCCCAGCTCCCACTGTGGAAGGGGAGGCTTTGTGTCCCTCACTGAACCCACCTCAAAACAGTGACATTCAGCTGGATGACACTGGCTGGGTTTTTCGTGAGCCACAGACAGCGAAAAAATAGCAAATTAGAGGGAGAAGGACCCTGATCCTTCTTGAACCACTAGGAATTGATTTAATTTATACTTTGACAGCCAAGATTGAATACAATCACAAGCCCCTCAGCTGGGTGCAGGGTGTTTACCTTCCTTTTATTGAAAGAGCGGAAAGCAATATTCCCAGACTGGGAGAACTGGGAGAGGGAGACAGGCTCTGCAGGGGCCAGGCCTGTCCACACATCTGCTCCTCTGGCAGGCACAGGATCTAGGGGCTGGGGGAGATTGCAGACGAGAAGTGTAAACTGCTCTTTAATGAAGTTCCCTGGGTTACACCTTGCTGTTGGCTCCCTGAAATCATTCTAAATTCAAGTATTTTTGTGGCCTAATGAGTTTATTTCTCTTTTCCCATTAGCTGCCTATTTATTTGTCTAATTATTTTCTGGATTTTTTGACTGTTTTACTAAGGCACCCTCTGTCATGTCCTGTGCCACTTTGTGAGAATTTCCCCACTCCTCTGTCAAGTATTGTCATTATTAGTCACTGAGAAACAGGAGTTTTTTAGCAAAATACCACTAATCTGAGGGATAAAACCACCCAAAAGCTCAGCTCCTAAAGTAATCCTATCCCTAACCTCCATTCGAATCTTCTATTTATGGCAAAAGCAGCACTGTCAAATTGATTTCTCCTCCTGGATTCCTTGTCTGTTCCTGGTTACTTGATATGATTGGTAACTGCAGTTACTATATCTCTCAGGAAAAATAGGTTTGCAGAGTGAGCCCACCCCTGTGGCTCTGCAGAGCCAAACTCAGCAGGATTTAAGGTAAATCCTTTGAGCTTTTGAAGCTGCACATTGCACTGCTGAGCAAGAGGGGACCTCTGTGAGACCCTCCTGCTGTGCCACTGCCCTGTGCAGCCCTTTTTGCAGGGGGCACAACCCATTGGGGAAACTGGGGATTTTGACACTGGTTGCTTGGAAGGGAGTTTGGGAAGTTTTATGGAAAGCAAGGCTCACTCATGAACCTTTGCTCACATGTAATTCCCAGACAAGGGATGTTAGAGTAGAAGCTGTAGGGGTAATTGGATATTATCATGCCCTTCTGGGCAGACAGCTTGCTCCGAGGAAAGGTTCAGGGACACTCACACAAGTTCCTGGATCACCCCTTGTGATCGGCTTGGGCACGATATTCCAGCCACTAGTCTGTTTGGGATTCAATTTGTGCAGTTTCCATGAGCTGCACTTGCCTCTGAGGGGCTGGAAGAGTGGGCAGGAGTGTGTCTGGCTCAAAGGTTAGTGGGAAAGGGGGTCTGGGACAGCCTCCTTCTGGAGTACCCATTCCCCAAGGTCACTCTGGGGCACGGGTACTCCAGGGAAGTCCTTCATCTCTTGAGGTGATGCTCCTGGCCATCCTTTTCACTCCCCAGTGGCAGAGTCCTCTCTGGTGCTGGGCCAGGCCTTGAGGCACCTTAGGGGAGAGGCTGGGACCTGTCCATGCTCTGCAGTGCTATCCCAGTTCCACACAGAGGGAGTGTGCACGAGTCTGGGTACCCAGCTGCATGTGCTCATATCCCAGTGCCTCCTGTCCCAGGGTGACCTCTCCACCTCTGGGCAGCCCTGAGCAGTCTCGGGCAGCTCGCAGACCTGTTCCTCAGTGTCCTCCCCTGTTCCCTGCTGTCTCTGTGGGAATCCTTTTGCCTGGGATCAGTATTTCCCAGTTATTGCTTTGCCCTCAAGGTTTTTGACTTTCCCCTAATTTTGCTTCTTATCACAACCAGACTGGTTATCTTTACGAGCCACTGACCCCATAAACTCTTCATATTGTCCTGTGCTGTCTTTAATCTACACATAAACCTGCTCTTCTAATAAACCCCAGACTCCAGGGGATGATGATAATCAGTATAATACACAGTCCCTCTTAGCAAACAAATGGAAACATCAGTATCATCTTGGGAAAGTCCCAAAGATAAGGATCCTCCCTTGTCTGTTCCTGGGGTCTGTTGGGATATTACTTTTCAATCTCCCCTGTGGCACAGCTGATGCTATTGCTGCAGCTGGGTTAGTTACCCAACTCTGCATTACTCTGTGTTATTGGAGCATTAATGGGCCACATGGGGAGTGTTTCCTCACAGCCCTGAGGCAGTGCTGGGTTTATGGTGACTCTCCAAGCTGGGAGTGATCCTTGTGTGTGATCACTGGGAAGGTGAGGGAGGATTTGAGGAAATCAGACTGTAATTTAGCATTTACTGTCAAAGGGCCAGGAGATCTGTTCCAGGAGACACATGTACTCCTGGGGCAGTGCCACAGAATCCCACAATGGCTGGGGTGGGAAGGGATTCATCCAGTTCCAACCCCCTGCCATGGGCAGGGACACCTTCCACCAGCCCAGGTTGCTCCAAGCCCCATCCAACCTGGCCTTGGACACTTGCAGGGATGGGGCAGCCACAGCTTCTCTGGGCAACCTGTGCCAGGGCCTCCCCACCCTCACAGGGAACAATTTATTCCCAATAACCCACTTAACCTGCTCTCTTTCAGTTTCAAACTATTGCCCCTTGTCCTGTCATTCCATGCCCTTGTAAATAGTCCCTTTCCATCTTTCCTTTGCTCTCTTCAGGTGCTGGAAGGCTGCAATTAGGGCACCCTGAAGCTTCTCTTCTCCAGGCTGAACAATCCCAATTCTCTCCCCTTTCCTCACAGCAGAGCTTCTCCATCCTTCTGATCATCTCGGTGCCTCTTCTGGACTCTCTCCAGAAGCTCCATGTCCTTCCTGTGCTGGGACTCCAGAGCTGGAGGGACCTTCAGAGTGCCCACACTGTTGCAGCAGCTGCTTTGCTGCAGAACGGGCCCTCCCAGCTGGACCAGCAGGAGCCCCTCCCAGTCATTCACTTTACAGCTGCTGCAGGGACTGAACTCTGGGATGTCCCCACTTCTCCACCAACTAATCTGTTCAACTGGGACCCCTCTCACCCCAGACAAGGACCAAACTGCGAAACAAAAGACATTTCCTCCTGAACAGTGATCCAGTCTTTGAAATTCCTCCCCCTGTGAGAGGTGCCAGATCACCCTGCAGCCCAAACAGCCAAGGGCACTCACGTGCTGACATCAAGCATAAGCCTCCTATCAGGCTCAGAGTCTTATGTACTTCCAGTGAAATCTCCATAAGACTAATGAGATATTACAGGCAGTTCTGTCACATGGCAGAAATGCAGTCACAGCTCTCCACACTTGCCTGTGCATGCAAAGCCAAGCCAGCAAGGTTGGACAGAACTGCCAGGATTCATACGATGAAAAATACCACACACTGCCTTAGTTACTTCACCCACTAAAGAAACACTGGCTGGAGCCCCCATGCCAGCTGGTCAGAGCCCTAAGAAAACTCTTGTGCTCCCAAAGTATTTAAAAAATGCATTAAGCACAAAAAAAGGTATTTTCATACCTCCTAATTCACCTGAGCAGAAAAACATTTCCAGGGGGAGGGAATGATACAGAAGTCAGGCAGGAACGCACAGACAGAACACTTGCCTTTGGAAACTCCAGCTTTTATTGGGAAGCATTCTAAAAATCACAGAATCACAGAGTGAAGAGACCCACAAGGATCATCGAGTCCAGCTCCTGGCCCTGCACAGGACACCCCAACAAGAGTTTAAGATCTAAGCTGATGTTTCCCTTCTCATGTGGCTACAGGGTGCAGAGCCAAGTGCCAAGGCTGCAGCACTGTAATGTGGAAAATGCGTGTGAACAAAGAGTTTGCCATTCAAAGGAACAAACAAACCTTTTCTTTAACCCAGAAGTGGGAATACCCAGGGAAAACTACTGTGCTACTTTGAGCTGTTGTGTGAAGAGATGGGAATCAGAAGGATAAATGTTAGATGTATTATAGGTCTGAAGGAAGTCTAACAGAACAGCTGTAAATAGCCATGACAAGATCTGGAGGTCTAGAGAGGTCCTCACTCAAAAGGCTGTTTGGATCACTGGAAGACAAAGGGAAGAACATTGGCACTAAGAATAAAGGGAGACAGTGTTTGGAAAGCAAAGCACTGGGAAAGATAAGGTTTGCCTTTGGAACTCAGGAAGACAAGGGATATTGATGGTCAGTACTGTTTATGTTGGGGTACTCTGGTTACAGTAACATTAGTGGCTCTTTTTGAAGCAAACAGACAGCCTGAGAGCTCACACTGGGTTTGGAGAGCTGGAAAATAAACAGAGCTGCAGCCTGGTGTTTGTACACAGGCTCTGAAGAGGCTCCTGTGGGAGAGGAGCAGGAGGGAATGGTAGGCCTGGAAAATCACAGGGAGACTGGAGCTTGGAGGGGACCTTGAGAGGTCCAACCTGCTGCTGGAGGTCAGACCAGGGGCCTCAGGGCTGTGTCCAGCCTGGGCCTGGCAGCCAAGGAGAGGAAGGGACTGCCCAGCTGTGTGTGTGCCTGTGCCTGCCCCAGTGCAGCTCTGACTGCTTCTGAGAGCTGTAATTATGGGAAGGATGGCTGGAGTTCCCCTGAAAACAAGGCCATACAAAGATTTAGCTGGACAACACCCAAGTGCCTGCTGTTGCCCTGTGCCCCAGGCTGGGATCTCCTACTCACACTGGCAGCCCCATCTCCTGGGCTTTAGCTACCAGGAATTTCCCCTTCTTTGGGTGAATCTGAAAAGAGAAAAACAGAATTATCAGCCAAATACAGAGGGCCAGGAAACACGATCCACGTACTCCCAGTTTAAGTCTTTCCCCAGAGGCCAAGGAAATTTTTTTTTCCTTTTCAGTTCCACAGCCACTGCTCTAATTTAACCCAAAAACCTTTGACCAGCCTGTCTGCTTTCCAAGATCAGGCTGCTGCTTCTTGCTCCCTCCTTTAGCCAAGCAAGCAGGACAGCCTGTCCTGCTGGGAGGGTTGAGGAAGAATGGAACCTCCACACTCTTAACAGCTGCTCCACAAAGAACACATGTAAAAAACCATCTCCAATTTTACACAGTCCTACTCCTGCTACAGCAACTCCAACATCGGAAAAGCAGAAACACATTATAGCTGCAAAGTACTACTTGAAAATGCTGCCTCCAGTTCCATCTGTCCAGCAAGATGAAATGTCCTCATGGCATCAGGGAGCATCTCCTTACAGAGAGGGAGGTCAAACACTGCAACAGGCTTCCCCAAGAGGTGGTCAATACCCCAAGCCTGACAGTGTTTAAGAGATGCCCTCAATAATATGCTTTCAATTTTGAGCAGCCCAAAGTGCTCAGGCACTTGGACTGGATGGTTCAACCCTGGAAGTGTCCAAGGCCAGGTTGGACAAGGCTTGGAGCAACCTGGGCTAGTGGAAGGTGTCCCTGCCCATGGCAGGGGGTTACAACTAGATTATCTTCAAGGTCCCTTCCAACCCAAACCATTCTGGGATTTCAGGTGATCATTGTAGGGCCCTTCCCACAGAAATGCTGTTCTATTCTCCAATGTGTTCTGTGTTGGTTTAGAGACCTCTGTGCCCAAGCTTACTTTACAAAGAAAAGCCATCACCAGGTCAGCATTCCTACTTGCACACTTCTGCTCAGCATTTCCTTACCGAGAGGGATGTCAAACACTGGACCGATTTCCTGGAGAGGTTCTCGAGGAAACCTGCGCTTGACCTTCCTGCTTCTCCTCCTCCTCCGTGCAGGGACGGGCTGCGGAGGCACCGGGACCCGCCGGGGCCGGTGAACGGGGGCAGGGTGAGCTCTGGGGGAACCGTGAGCTGCCCACCCTTGGCACGGCAAAGCAGAGCGGCGGCACAGCCCGAGGAGGGACACCGGGACACACGGCGGGGTTGGAGGGAGAGTGAGGGGAGAAAAGCGAGCGGTTCATTGCTGGGGTCTCCCCGCGGAGGCGCCGGCTTCGGGGTATTGCTGTGTTACTGCGCCGGAATCAGTGGCTCTATGG